TTAGTATTTAGTTATGTTCTCCCACTTAAAATATTGATAGAGGTCTGTAGTTTCCATCATATGTACACTTCAACTGTGAAAGACAAAGAATTCACATTGTAGGATTTTTAAAGAATTTATTTGTAAATTATGGTGGAAAATAAGTATTTGGTCACTTCAAACAAGGAAGATCTCTGGCTCTCACAGACCTGTAACTTCTTCTTTAAGAAGCTCTTCTGTCCTCCACTTGTTACCTGTATTAATGGCACCTGTTTGAACTCCTTATCTGTATAAAAGATACCTGTCCACAGCCTCAAACAGTCAGACTCCAAACTCCACTATGGCCAAGACCAAAGAGCTGTCGAAGGACACCAGGAAAAGAATTATAGACCTGCACCAGACTGGGAAGAGTGAATCTACAATAGGCAAGCAGCTTGGTGTGAACAAATCAACTGTGGGAGCAATTATCAGAAAATGGAAGACATACAAGACCACTGATAATCTCTCTCACGCTAAGATCTCATGCCGTGGGGTCAAAATGATCATGAGAACGGTGATCAAATATCCCAGAACCACACGGGGGGACCTGGTGAATGACCTGCAGAGAGCTGGGACCAAAGTAACAAAGGTTACCATCAGTAACACACTACAACGACAGGGAATCAAATCCTGCAGTGCCAGACGTGTCCCCCTGCTGAAGCCAGTGCATGTCCAGGCCCGTCTGAAGTTTGCCAGAGAGCACATGGATGATACAGCAGAGGATTGGGAGAATGTCATGTGGTCAGATGAAACCAAAGTAGAACTGTTTGGTATAAACTCAACTCGTCGTGTTTGGAGGAAGAAGAAGACTGAGTTGCATCCCAAGAACACCATACCTACTGTGAAGCATGGGGGTGGAAACGTCATGCTTTGGGGCTGTTTTTCTGCTAAGGGACGGAACTGTCGGAAAGATGATGGGCCATGTATCGTGAGATTTTGAGCCAAAACCTCCTTCCATCAGTGAGAGCTTTGAAGATGAAACGTGGCTGGGTCTTCCAGCATGACAATGATCCCAAACACACCGCCCGGGCAACGAAGGAGTGGCTCCGTAAGAAGCATTTCAAAGTCCTGGAGTGGCCTAGCCAGTCTCCAGACCTCAACCCCATTGAAAATCTGTGGAGAGAGTTAAAAGTCCGTGTTGCTCGGCGACAGCCCCAAAACATCACTGCTCTCGAAGATCTGCATGGAGGAATGGGCCAAAATACCAGCTACTGTGTGTGAAACCTGGTAAAGACCTATAGTAATCGTTTGACCTCCGTTATTGCCAACAAAGGTTATATTACAAAGTATTGAGTTGAATTTTTGTTATTGACCAAATACTTATTTTCCACCATAAATTTACAATCAAATTCTTTAAAAATCTTACAATGTGAATTCCTGGATTTTTTTTTCACATTCTGTCTCTCACAGTTGAAGTGTACCTATGATGAAAATTGCAGACCTCTGTCATTATTTTAAGTGGGAGAACTTGCACAATCAGTGGCTGACTAAATACTTTTTTGCCCCACTGTTATATACAGAACGGTTCAAGTCCTTGCATCCAAACCTGCCAAGTATAAGGCTCAGGGGCAGAGAACCACACACACACACATCTCCTAAAATGACATAAACGTTGGTATTTCTTTGTAGTTATGAATGGTTGTTGGCAGTGACCGAGCTCCTGCCTGAAGCCTCTTACTTCTCACACAGAGCCAGAGAACAGTCAGCGTGTTGTGGATAGTAACGAGTTGCCAGATTTCCTCTGCCAAATAGAGAGAACCATGAGAGACCAAGAGAGAGAGACCAGAGAGAGATTACAAGAAGAGATTTGATTCCAAGAGAGACCAGAGAGAGAGACCGAGCCAGAGAGAGAGACCCAGAGAGAGAGACCAGAGAGAGAGCCATAGAGAGACCATAGAGAGAGGCCATACCAAGAGAGACCAGAGAGAGAGAACCAGAGAGAGAGACCAAAGAGAGACCAGAGAGAGACCAGAGAGAGACCAGAGAGAGACCAGAGAGAGACCAGAGAGAGACCAGAGAGAGAGACCAGAGAGAGAGACCAGAGAGAGACCAGAGAGAGACCAGAGAGACCCAGAGAGAGACCAGAGAGAGAGAACCAGAGAGAGACCAGAGAGAGAGACCAGAGAGAGACCAGAGAGAGAGACCAGAGAGAGAGACCAGAGAGAGACCAGAGAGAGAGACCAGAGAGAGACCAGAGAGAGACCAGAGAGAGACCAGAGAGAGACCAGAGAGAGACCAGAGAGAGGAGAGAGACCAGAGAGAGACCAGAGAGAGACCAGAGAGAGACCAGAGAGAGGCCAGAGAGAGGCCAGAGAGAGACCAGTGAGAGACCAGAGAGAGACCAGAGAGAGACCAGAGAGAGAGACCAGAGAGAGACCAGAGAGAGAGACCAGAGAGAGACCAGAGAGAGACCAGAGAGAGACCAGAGAGAGACCAGAGAGAGACCAGAGAGAGAGACCAGAGAGAGACCAGAGAGAGAGACCAGAGAGAGACCAGAGAGAGACCGGAGAGAGACCAGAGAGAGACCAGAGAGAGACCAGAGAGAGGCCAGAGAGAGGAGAGAGACCAGAGAGAGACCAGAGAGAGACCAGAGAGAGACCAGAGAGAGACCAGAGAGAGGCCAGAGAGAGGAGAGAGACCAGAGAGAGACCAGAGAGAGACCAGAGAGAGATCAGAGAGAGACCAGAGAGAGACCAGAGAGAGACCAGAGAGAGACCAGAGAGAGACCAGAGAGAGGCCAGAGAGAGACCAGAGAGAGGCCAGAGAGAGGCCAGAGAGAGACCAGAGAGACCAGAGAGTGGCCAGAGAGAGACCAGAGAATGAGCAGAGAGAGCCCAGAGTTGATTTAATCATATGGTTTTGTGTTTTAAAGTCAGGTACCCGAGCTTTAACCCTGATTCTTTTTCCTGCAGCGTGCCGAGAGCCGCAGCCGCCCCTGCCCCGGGACATCGCAGTGATCATGTACACCTCCGGCTCCACAGGGGACCCCAAAGGAGTCATGATCTCCCATAGCAACATCCTGTCCGGGATCACAGGCATGGCCGAGCGCATCCCCAACCTGAGGTCCGCGTACACACTGTCTACACACACTGTCTACATACACTGTCTACACACACTGTCTACACACACTGTCTACACACACTGTCTACATACACTGTCTACACACACTGTCTACACACACTGTCTACATACACTGTCTGCACACACTGTCTACACACACTGTCTACACACACTGTCTGCACACACTGTCTACACACACTGTCTGCACACACAATTCACACACAGAGAGACCAGAGAGAGAAGAGGGACCAGAGAGTGAGACCAGAGAGAGGGAGACCAGAGAGACACCAGTGAGAGACCAGAAAGAGACCAGAGAGAGACCAGAGAGAGACCAGAGAGAGACCAGAGAGAGACCAGAGAGAGACCAGAGAGAGACCAGAGAGAGACCAGAGAGAGACCAGAGAGAGAAAAACAGAGGGACCAGAGAGAGAGAGATACCAGAGAGAGAACGAGATACAAGAGAGAGAGAGAGAGACCAGAGAGAAGGAGAGACCAGAGAGAGAGAGAGAGACCAGGGAGAGAGGGAGAGAGGGAGACTAGAGAGAAAGTGATAGTCCAGAGAGAGACCAAGGACCAGAGACTGATCCAGAGCAGTTTACTTTTCAATGTAAGTCAATTGGAGCCAGAGCGAGTTGGAGCAAAACTTCTCTATGGTGCTACATTGAGCTAGCGCATTAGCATTGACCATCTATATACAGTCTATAACCTTTGCCATAGTACTGCCTAATATTGGTTCTTTAAAATGTCGTTCTGACTCAATTGTGCGTTCTTGTTGTGCGTCCTTGTTGTGTGTCCGCAGTGAGGAGGACACGTACATCGGATACCTGCCTCTGGCCCACGTCCTGGAGCTCAGTGCAGAGCTGGTGTGTGTGTCTCACGGCTGTCGCATCGGATACTCCTCTCCACTGACCCTCGTCGACAAGGTACCTCTCCACAAGTGATGGTACTCTGAGCGTAAGGTTGTTGGTTCGAATCCTGCCTCTGACGTAAATAGGTTTGACAGGTGTGAGACCAGCTCCCTTTGGATCCCAATCGAATTTAGCTTTTGGTGCCTAAGATGAGACTTAAAACCCAGAGCGCAGGGCCTTCTCTGTGGTCTTAAACCCAGAGCACAGGGCCTTCTCTGTGGTCTTAAACCCAGAGCACAGGGCCTTCTCTGTGGTATTAAACCCAGAGCACAGGGCCTTCTCTGTGGTCTTAAACCCAGAGCACAGGGCCTTCTCTGTGGTCTTAAACCTAGAGCACAGGGCCTTCTCTGTGGTCTTAAACCTAGAGCACAGGGCCTTCTCTGTGGTCTTTAACCCAGAGCACAAGGACATCTCTGTGGTCGTAAACCCAGAGCACAGGGCCTTCTCTGTTGTCTTAAACCTAGAGCACAGGGCCTTCTCTCTGGTCTTAAACCTAGAGCACAGGGCCTTCTCTGTGGTCTTAAACCTAGAGCACAGGGCCTTCTCTCTGGTCTTAAACCTAGAGCACAGGGCCTTCTCTGTGGTCTTAAACCTAGAGCACAGGGCCTTTTCTGTGGTCTTAAACCCAGAGCACAGGGCCTTCTCTGTTGTCTTAAACCTAGAGCACAGGGCCTTCTCTCTGGTCCTAAACCCAGAGCACAGGGCCTTCTCTGTGGTCTTAAACCTAGAGCACAGGGCCTTCTGGTCCTAAACCCAGAGCACAGGGCCTTCTCTGTGGTCCCATTTTTAAGTTTTTATCAATGCGTGACTTGTATGGTCCTTATATTTTGTTTTATTTAGTTTTTTATTTGTTATATTAACGGAAATGGTAGAAAAGGGCAATATCAATAACAAACGAACTAAATTTACAAATGAATGTTATTTTAAAACATATTTGACATGTTTTGCTCTTTCACAGTCGGCAAAGATCAAGCCCGGAAGCAAAGGAGACACCAGCGTTCTCCATCCCACTCTGATGGCAGCCGTACCAGTGAGTCCTAAACAGCTCCCTCTGGTGGTAGCATAGGGATTGTGCCGGCCAACAGTGTGTCACCATATATTTTCATTTTTATCACATTCTAAAACAGGAAATCACGAAGTAAAGAAGCCAAACATAATGAACAACAACAAGCAAACATCATAGAGTCACAACAAGCAGACATCATAGAGTCACAACAAGCAGACGTCATAGAGTCACAACAAGCAGACGTCATAGAGTCACAACAAGCAGACGTCATAGAGTCACAACAAGCAGACGTCATAGAGTCACAACAAGCAGACGTCATAGAGTCACAACAAGCAGACGTCATAGAGTCACAACAAGCAGACGTCATAGAGTCACAACAAGCAGACGTCATAGAGTCACAACAAGCAGACGTCATAGAGTCACAACAAGCAGACGTCATAGAGTCACAACAATCAGACGTCATAGAGTCACAGAAACCTCAGATGGAAAATGCTGGTGATCCCTGGGAACATCCTCCTCTCTCCCCCTCCCCCCCTCCTCCCCCCCTGAGGTCCTGAGGCTGTGGGAGGTCAGAGGAGCAGAGCCTGAAACTGTAAACACAACGTGAGAACAAGACATCACACATTCACACATAACTGGTTTGTTCTGGTTTGAATCCTCCACAAGTCTTAGTTTGGGACCAATCTCACTGTTTTAGTTACACTGTTGCTAAGTAATCCCCAATCCACTTCTTTAGGCAACAAGTATTTTACACACACACACACACGCACTCGCACATGGACGCGCACAGACACACAGACAGACAGACAGACACACACACACATTTATCTATGTACTTGTCTTGTGCACACTGGGGACTTTTGCAAATGTATTCCAATGTGGTTTTACTGCAAATCGCAAATAAATGAATCTGAATCTGAGACACACACACATACACACACATACACACACACACACACATACACACACAGATACACACAGACACACTGACACACAGATACAGTACTTTAACGTGGAGCCCCTCTGTGGAGCCCCTCTCTGAAACCCTCGGAGGCTTCTCTGCAGGACAGCGATGATCACATTAAAACGGAGACCATAAAACCTGCACTTTGTTCCTCTGGTTTTGTGGGTCACTGTGGACGGAGACCCCAGAGGGATCCCAGAACACATCGCTTTATTTTCTCTGAAAACAAGGACACTTTTAGAACCAGGAACTCAAGGGACCAATGTCTTTCATACCAAGACTATTAATAATTATTATCAATCAATCCGTCCTTTTGAGCCGCTTTACCGCCCTGACGCCCACGCTTCCTTCTGATCCCAGGGAGTCCCCATAGAGTCCCCATAGAGTTCCCATAGAGTTCCCATAGAGTCCCATAGAGTTCCCATAGAGTTCCCATAGAGTTCCCATAGAGTTCCCATAGAGTTCCCATAGAGTCCCCATAGAGTCCCCATAGAGTCCCCATAGAGTCCCCATAGAGTCCCCAGACCAGCTTAGCAACGGGGTTCCTCCAGCGAGTCCCAAGTCTCCTCCCGATGGAACAAACCCAGGACACCTCCCTCTGCAAATCAGAAGCTCAACCTCAACCTATGTTTTCTCTCAACATGGAGCTAGATAGAGACAGACACACAGACAGATACACAGATAGACACACAGACAGACAGACAGAGAGACACACAGACAGACAGACAGAGAGACACACAGACAGACAGACAGAGAGACACACAGATAGACAGACAGAGAGACAGACACACAGACAGACACACACACACACAGAGACTCCCTTCTTTCCAGTCCTAGTAAGTCCCACAGAGTTCTCAGTCCCGAGTCTCCTCCCAAATGAAACAAACCTGGGACACTCCTATCTTTTCTCAACATGGAGGAGAAGCAGCTCTATTCAAAGCTCCTCCAGGCCCCTCCTACCATTACATGAACTTTAAGTAAATGTATGTAATTGTTTGTGTTTGTAGGAGATCATGGATCGCATTTATAAAAACGTGATGGAGAAAGTGGAGGCTGCGAGTTTCTTCCAGAGAACGCTCTTCACTCTGGCTTACAAATACAAACTGGACCAGTTCAGAAGAGGACTCAGCACCCCTCTGTGTGACAGGTGAGGCTGAAGCGGGTTAGACCAGGCTGAAGCGGGCCAAAACACGCTGACTCGGGCCGAAGCAGGCTGAAGCGGGCCGAAGCAGGCTGAAGCGGGCCAAAACACGCTGACTCGGGCCGAAGCAGGCTGAAGCGGGCCGAAGCTGGCTGAAGCGGGCCGAAGCAGGCTGAAGCGGGCCGAAGCAGGCTGAAGCAGGTGAGACAGGCTGAAGCAGGTGAGATAGGCTGAAGCAGGTGAGGCAGGCTGAAGCAGGCTGCAGCAGGTGAGGCAGGCTGAAGTGGGCTGAAGCAGGCTGAGGCAGGCTAAAGCAGGCTGAAGGAGGTTAGACCAGGATGAAGTAGGGGAGACCAGGATGAAGTAGGCGAGACCAGGCTGAAGCAGGTGAGACCAGGCTGAAGCAGGACTGAACGAGGACTTAACCAGGGGCTAAACGAGGACGACTGAACCAAGGGCTAAAACAGGACTAAACCAGAACTAAACCAGGGGTTAAACCAGGACTGAACCAGGACTCATATCAACTTCTATCTGCCACAACAGAACAAAAACATGACTAATTCCCGGTTTAAGCAAGACCAAAACAATTCAAATCCAGAATTACACCAGAACTAAATCCAGACTAGACGTTAAAGATACATGACCTGTTTTAAAGAAAGAAGAAGTTAATAATAAAATACATTCCACTTGTTTATAGTAGTATCTGTCACTTTAACAGAATACTTAATACTAGGAAAACCAAACCGCAGGAGACCGAGAGAGTCAAACCCGCTCCAGAGAACACATCACCCCAGTCCTTCACAAACTCCCCTGGCTCCCTTCAAACAGCACTTTCAAAATCCTCCCCAGTTTCCCCGATACTGATGGATCTTCTTGATTCCAGGCTGGTTTTCCGTAAACTCCGCTCTCTCCTCGGGGGTCGGGTGCGTGTGCTTCTGTCTGGAGGAGCTCCTCTCTCTGCTGCCACCCAGAGGTTCATGAACGTCTGCTTCTGCTGCCCCGTCGGACAGGGGTATGGACTGACCGAGACCTGTGGAGCCGGCACCATCAGCGAGTGTGAGCCCTGGTCCCATTTGTTTTTGTTTCGTCCTAAATCACAGTCCAAACTTGGGGGCCCGGGGGCCAATTGCAGCCCTCAGTGTCATTTCATGTGGCCCTCTGCCTCGCTAACCCACAGTAGTCTTTGAGATTATAAATCAGATGGTAAACATGTGTCATTCAGCCAACTTCAGCTCTGCTATAGATCATTTCAAAGCTCAGAACAATCAAGACAGTTTTTCAGTCCGTGATGTCGGCCCCTGGACTATTCTGGTGAGCTAAAGTGGCCCTCTTACTGTGACTGCCATAGAGTTCCCATAGAGTCCTAAAAACCCAGTGGGATTTTAGAGTCGTTTCTAGACCATGACAATCTAGACCATGGGTGTCAAAGTGAAGGCCCGGGAGCCAGATTCGGCCCACGAATTGATTATTTTGGCCCCCGGGAGGAAAATATTGGATTATTCATTTGAAGTTTAGGACATGTGATTTCTCTAATATTGGATAATTCATTAAATTACGGGCGGCAGTAGCTCAGTTGGTAGAGCTTTGGCCTTTGAGCCAGAAGGTCGTGGGTTCAAGCCCCGCTCAAGACTTTCACCATCGACTCCCACTGACTACTGTCGTTGTGTCCTTGGCAAGACACTTAACCTCTGGGAACACCAGCCACAGTGGGGCGGCTGCGGCTGTAAAGTGCCAAACTGCCGTTGTGTCCTTAGGCAAGACACTTCAACCCCATTGCCTAGAATGAGTCTGGTGTGTGTATGAATGGTTGGTGGTGGTCGGAGGGGCCGATGGCGCATACTGGTCGCCTCGCTTCTGTCAGTGTGCCCCAGGGCAGCTGTGGCTACAGCAGTAGTTTATCACCACCGTGTATGGAGTGAATGAATAATGACACATGTGAAGCGTCTTTGAGTGTCCAGAAAAGCGCTATATAAAACCGATGCATTATTATTATTATTAAATCATTAGATAAAATATGGTGCACCGCGTTAGGTCTTGGTTCAACAGGTTTTATGCAATCCTATAAATACATTTTAATAAACATGAACCAGTCTGGCCCTCGGCTTGTAGCCAATTAGATTTTTTTGTCCCTCTGATGTATTTGACTTGGACATCCCTGATCTAGGCCATAACGGTTTTGCTCCATGGCAGGCATGACCAAACTCGGGCCAGGGGGCCAATTGCGGCCCTCAGTGTCATTGTATATAGCCGTCTGCCTCGCTAACCCACAGTAGTCTTTGAGATCATAAACACAAGTTCACTGTGTCATCCATCCAACTTCAGCTCAGCCAACATAGACATGTCGTTACTCGTTCTAAAGCCCAATACATCTGGATTTCAGTCGTTGACTTTATTTGAACTTACTTTACTGACGTAGTTTTTGATTGTCTCACAAACTTCCGTTAATGGGGCTGATGTAGCTGCTAAGGCGGTAAACATTTGTCATTCAGCCAACTTCAGCTCCAATATAGATAATTGTTTTTTTTTTTTTTTTTAAACAAAAAAAACAATATAGATAATTTTAAAGCTCAGAACAGCTCGATGTCAGTCAAGACAGTTTTTCAATCCGTGATGTCAGCCCCTGGACTAGTCTGGTGAACTAAAGTCTCTTACTAAAAAGTTTGGACACCCTTGCTCTATGGGTTGTTAAGTATTTCATGTGAATCTCAACTTGTAGTGCCCCAAACACGGATCACAACTATTGACATGTTTTTTTGTATCCATCTTTTATTTTCCAGAACTCCCATTTATTAGACTAAGTGATGTTTTCCTTTTGGGGCCATTCCAGATACACTTCAGTCCACACTGGCTGAGATCTGTTTCCTGTGGCTGTAGTGAGACTCAGGTCTGAGGCTCTCCGGGTTTTTCTTTTGTTAACGGACGAAAATAATAGACATTATTTTTTCTTTAAGTATAATTGCATTGTTTTAATTATAGATTCAGAGATAGGTAGATGGGTAGGTAAGATAAGAGAGAGAGGGAGAGAGAGAGAGACACAAAGAAAGAGAGAGAGAGGCAAAGAGAGAGAGAGACAGAGATCGTGTGTGTGTGTGTGTGTGTGTGAGAGAGAGAGATACAGAGAGAGAGACAAAGAGAGAGAGACAGAGACAGAGATAGAGAGAGAAGAGGCAAAGAGAGAGACATATAGAGAGAGAGAGACAGAGAGAGAGACAGAGACAGAGATAGAGAGAGAAGAGGCAAAGAGAGAGACAGAGAGAGAGACAGAGACAGAGATAGAGAGAGAGACGGAGAGATAGAGAGAGAGACAGAGAGAGAGATAGAGAGACAGACAGAGAGAGAGACAGACAGATCCTTTGTTGATCGTGAAGTACATTGTGCCTTCATCTCTCTCACATTTGCATAAAGCAGTAGTATTTTAAGAAGTGACATTAATATTTTATTTTTGAAGGTTAAAAAACAATATGTCTTCTTTAAACAGTCGCGTGTTTGTTTGAGTGACTTCCACCGACCGCTGTGACCAAGACTGATCCAATAATATCATGATTTTCCAAAGAGATTAAGAATTTCAGGGAATCTTCTCCGTCATCTTCCTCCACTTCAATCTATAGTTCTCGGAAAAGTCTGGGCTTCTTCTTTAGATTTAACCTCTGCTTCTTTGCAACCATCACTCAAAACTATCGCGCTCTGGATCAGGGAGAGAGGTTCCCACAGAAGGCAGCAGTTTCTGTAGAGTTTAGCTAAAGCAGGACATGACAGAAGACAGAGGGTTATTTCCGGTTTAGAATGTATTGGTCCCACAGTGGGGGAAATTCCAGTGTTGCATCGTTACAGAACAGTAGGAATGAGGAGCACACGGCACAAGGTAAATCTACAATTACTCTGTACTGAAATAAGATCTAAAAACCAGGACGGGACCAGAGAAGACTAGGTCACAAGGCGGGTTAAATGCCGGGTCGTTCAGACACACCAGCCTGTGTTATCCAGTGTGAAAATAAGAGTATTTGATTGAAATCCCCGTGTTTTTGCTCAGTGTGAATGAGGCTTCATCACAGACATAAATCCACTGTGTCACTTCCAAAACACTGGATCCTCTTTTGTCCGAAACGTGAAGCGATCAGAGACAAATTCACAAGACCATTTTCCAAAACAAAAACAAACCGATTAGCGCTGACATCATGTGAACCTCCTCTCGCCCCGGTGCTCTGCGTGCAGCCGCTGCTCTATGCTTTCAGGGCATGTTTTGCTCCGAGCGGTTTCTCCTCCGGGAGGTGGTTTCCATGACGAGGGAGCGTGTGAGGTCGGGTTGCTGTGGTGACGGGGACATTACGAAAAAAAAAAGATTATCTATTAGCGATTTGGTGGAGATCTCGTTCTACAGGGTGATGTCACATGTCAGGAGAGGACAGCAGTTGATCGTTTGTAATTAGGTTTGAGACAGAATGAGCTCAGAGAATAATTATGAGTTTAGACTGAGACTGAGGCCGAGACTGAGGCTAAGGCCGAGACTGAGGCCGAGACTGAGGCCGAGGCTGAGACTGAGACTGAGGCCGAGACTGAGGCTGAGGCTGAGGCTGAGGCTGAGGCTGAGGCTGAGGCTGAGACTGAGACTGAGGCTGAGACTGAGGCTGAGACTGAGGCTGAGACTGAGGCTGAGACTGAGGCTGAGGCTGAGGCTGAGGCTGAGGCTGAGGCTGAGGCTGAGGCTGAGGCTGAGGCTGAGACTGAGACTGAGGCCGAGACTGAGGCCGAGACTGAGGCTGAGACTGAGAATGAGGCTGAGGCCGAGACTGAGGCTGAGGCCTGAGGCTGAGGCTGAGGCTGAGGCTGAGGCTGAAGCTGAGACTGAGGCTGAGACTGAGGCTGAGACTGAGGCTGAGGCTGAGGCTGAGGCTGAGGCTGAGGCTGAGGCTGAGGCTGAGGCTGAGGCTGAGGCTGAGGCTGAGGCTGAGACTGAGGCTGAGGCTGAGGCTGAGACTGAGACTGAGGCTGAGGCTGAGGCTGAGACTAAATAGCAAAAAATATAAAACACTATTTACTTTTACTCTGCTGTTGTGATTTTGACCCATACAAAAATATATAGATTTTATTTGACATCATAACTTGGCTTTAGCAGCTTCTTAAGTCGGTGATAAAGTAGCGTAATGTATGTGTCTTTCATTTCTCGCAGCTTGGGACTACAGCACCGGGAGAGTGGGAGAGCCTCTCGTCTGCTGCGAGATCAAACTCAGAGACTGGAGAGAAGGTGAGGTTCCTTTAATCCTGATGGACCCACAGGGACCAAACAGTATTAGTGAAGAACAAGGTGTAAGACTGGGTCACAAGGCGGGTTAAGTAAGGGATAATGTATAATAGGCAGGTCATTATCGGAAAATAAGTACCGCCCTGAAGCTATCATCATTAATTGAACATTATAGGACATATCTGCAGAGGATCTGATTATGGATATAGGTTCAGTATATAAATGATTATGGATATAGGTTCAGTATATAAATGATTATGGATATAGGTTCAGTATATAAATGATTATGGATATGCAGCCAGCGAAAGTTCAATTTGGTAGACGTCAGCCAAAGGTAACCCCTCCAGGCCGGTTCTCATCCCCAGCCTATCGCGCTGCAAACGCCCCTTCCAATCACCGCACCGGCCAGGCAAGCCGCTTAAAAGCGGAGAAACTCCCACTCTCTGCCTTCTCGAAGCCTGCAACCACCGCCTCCCCTCCTCCTCCTCTTCACCCTGCCTTCAATCCGCCTTCAATCTGCTTCCCGCTGCCAAATGCCGCCACCAGTGCCTAGGTCCCGGGGGATTGGCACGCTCCATCGCAGAGCCCCTCCGATCTGAAGGCCGCACCGGGGCCTAGGGCGCCAAACCTCCTCCCAATAAAATACTCAAAAGCTTCTCGTTTCACGTCTCTCCAAATTGAAATAGGTTCAGTATATAAATGATTATGGATATAGGTTCAGTATATAAATGATTATGGATATAGGTTCAGTATATAAATGGGTAACTCAGCACGGATGTTCAGAATTCTTTGTTCAGTTTTCATGTAGTTTCAGAGCCTAAAAGGCTTGATTTCGGAGGCTCCGTGAAAACAAACAACTACAGCTACGAGCATCAGCGCAGATGATTGACAGCCCTTGGCATCACTTGATTGGTTAACCTCGACAGCATCGTGGATTCTGAGCTATAGCTAAGAGCAGGGAAGGCGGGACTTACCTGTAATATTAGAATTAATAAAATGACTTATATTTTATCAACATTTAAGGCCAGGAGGTCAATTTAATACAATTCTTAATTTTTTTTAATTCATTTAGAGTTACAGACTATCACTTTAAGAATCGCAATAAAATTCAATTGTGGCCCAAATATCGCAATACTATCAAACCGTCACATTTTTACCAATTCCCACCCTTAAAGGAGCAATATGTACAAATCTGGCCAAAAGTGGTACTGCAGCCTCTGCCACTCTCCCAAAACAAGAGTTTTGTCAACAACAAACCTATAACCAACACCTTTTTCATTCCTTGTTTTGTCGGGGGGGGGGGTTTCGAGACCTTTTTTGGTTCTGCGCCACATGGTACCAGTGAGATTAGCTCCACGCGGTGAGATCTGGAAACCCGGATCACGGACTTTCTGATTGGTGAAACGGTGGAGGACGGGATGTTAGGGCCATTTAATGGTGTCTTAACATGAAATTCTTACATGTTACTACTTCAATGGTTTGGCTGTTATGTGTGGAGTTTGCATGTTCTCCTCGCACATGCTCTTTGACAACACACAGACACACACGGACTGTTGTTGTGTTGTGCAGCCGGGTACCAGAGCACGGACAAGCCTCATCCCAGAGGAGAGATCCTGGTGGGGGGCCCCAATGTGACCATGGGGTACTACAAGACAGACCCCAAGATGCAGCAGGACTTTGTGGTGGACGAGAACGGCCAGCGCTGGTTCTGCACTGGGGACATTGGGGAGTTCCACCACGACGGCTGCCTCAAAATCATCGGTGAGAATTAAATATATTTTTAAAAGAGTAAAGTCCTGTAGAAGAGAGAGTTTGAATAGATCCTCTGTTTCTTCTGCTGTAAAACTGTAAAACATACTGTATCTACAGTGTATAAGTGCTGTCAGAGCTACACATGTGCACTTTATTCATATTTCTCTCTCTGGTCTCTATCTGTCGCACTCTTTCTGGTCTCATTCTCTCTGGACTCTCTCTGCTCACTCCCTCTGGTCTCACTCTCTCTGGTCTCTCGCTGGTCTCTCTGTCTCACTCTCTCTGGTCTCTATCTGTTGCACTCTTTCTGGTTTCTATATCTTTGGTCTCTCTCTGTCTCACTCTCTCGGGTCTCTCTCTGTTTTACTCTCTCTGATCTCTCTCTGGTCTTTCCCACTCTGTCTCACTCTCTCTGGTCTCTCTTTGGACAAATCATAGACTGAGCTAGCAGTGTAGCATTGGCCATCTGTATACAAAAACGCGCGATAGGGAAGTGCTTATGGACGAAGTTTTGCTCTGGCTCCAATCGATTCACATTGAAAAATAAACTCCTATCTCTGTAAATTCTGTATTTCAATCCAACTTCATATGAAAACTGCACGACTAAAACATGGGTATTATCATTGAAGTGGATTCCTCAAAAGGCCTCACCCCCCTCTCCCTCCTCCCTCCTCCCTCCTCACCCCCCCCCCCCCTCTCTCTCTCTTCTCCCCCTCATACTTCCTGTCTGAGCGTTCACACAGAGAGTCTTATGTTGAGGATGTTCAATATAAACACCGCCACATGTGACACAGCTGCTTCCATGTCACACACAGTTAGCTACTACTGCTAATATTATTATGTTTTATATAATTGTCTCTTGTCTCTCTCTGGTCTCTCTCTGGTCTCTATCTGGTCTCTCTCTCTGGTCTCTCTCTCTGGTCTCTCTCTGGTCTCTCTCTCTGGTCTCTCTCTGGTCTCTCTCTCTGGTCTCTCTCTGGTCTCTCTCTGGTCTCTCTCTGGTCTCCCTCTGGTCTCCCTCTGGTCTCTCTCTGGTCTCTCTCTCTAGTCTCTCTCTGGTCTCTCTCTGGTCTCTCTCTGGTCTCTCTCTGGTTTCTCTCTGGTCTCTCTCTGGTCTCCCTCTGGTCTCCCTCTGGTCTCTCTCTGGTCTCTCTCTCTAGTCTCTCTCTGGTCTCTCTCTGGTCTCTCTCTGGTCTCTCTCTGGTCTCTCTCTGGTCTCTCTCTGGTTTCTCTCTGGTCTCTCTCTGGTCTCCCTCTGGTCTCCCTCTGGTCTCTCTCTGGTCTCTCTCTCTAGTCTCTCTCTGGTTTCTCTCTGGTCTCTCTCTGGTCTCTCTCTGGTCTCTCTCTGGTCTCCCTCTGGTCTCTCTCTCTCTCTAATATTATTATGTATTTTTTTATGAGTGGTTTCTTGCCGATAATGTGGTCATCCCCTATGGACCAATGGCTCAATATGGCCCAATATTTCTTCTTTAATCATTACTAAAACTACTGTTGAAAGTAGATACTAATTTAAGAAAGTATTGATAGTGAAATAAATCACATGAACAAAACAAAACGTAATATTCTTTGAGGAGCTGTTTCAGAAGTAGTTCAAAACATTGTGGGAACATTAAAATTGTGGGAAGCAAAAGTTACCATACTGTATATTGATGAAACGATTGTCTAAAAAGGTGTTTTATCCGCAATATCCTGCTCTGTCTTGTTTCAGACCGAAAGAAGGACCTTGTGAAGCTTCAGGCTGGAGAGTACGTGTCTCTGGGGAAAGTGGAGGCCGTTTTGAAAAACTGTCCCCTGATCGACAACATCTGTGCCTACGCCAGCAGGTAGAACATGTGCTGTCATTTCAGTCATTCTAATAGATCTAATGACAAAGATCAGGACTGCAGGACTCAATCTAATCTTGGTATTTCATCCTGGCCTGGGTGATTTAAAGTAGCAATATGTACGATTTTCACGTCAAGTTCAGCCGAGATATTTGGATTGGATTTGGAAGCTAACGGTTAAGCTAATAGTGAAAACCTGCTACATAACAACATGAAAACCTGCGGCTTATATTCAGGTGCAGCCTATATGAGGACAACAATATTTTCTTTTTTCGGGTTAGGGTTAGCTATGCCTTTATAGCTGAGTGGTTAACACTCTCGCGTCTCAACATGAAGGTCCTGGGTTCGAAGCCCGGTCGGAACAGGGCCATTCTGAGTGGGGTTTGCATGTTCTCCCTGTGTCTGGTTTCCCCTACCACTAAAAACATGTACAGTAGGTCTGGCATGTGCCTCCTGTCCTGACCCCACTCCCATCTCTGTGTGGACTGAGAGACAAATGCACACAATTGTAAACCGCTTTGACTCTGGTCTGTGAAAGACGCTATATAAATAAACATTACTTACTTTATAGTGCAGATAGTGCAGTATTCGCACTCTCTCATATCTCGTTTCTCTCTCCTCTAGTGACGAGTCGTACGTGATCTCGTTCGTGGTGCCCAATCAGAAGCAGCTGGAGGCTCTGGCCGAACAGTACGCCGTCCGCGGCTCCAGAGCAGAACTGTGCAACAGCGCCACCATGGAGGAGCTGGTGCTGAAGGTGCTCACGGAGGCGGCGCTCGCAGGTGAACGCCAAACTCTATTTATTCTTTTATCGCCCTAAATCACAGGAGATGTTTTTTAGTAACTTACACTTTTATTTTATTGATTTTTAGCACCTTGGTAACCTGCAATCTTAATTTGAACTATATATTATTATGCTTATAGTTCTATGATTGTATTGTCAAGGACTACAGGTGGAAAGTTAAAAACTGCACATTGTCCTTAATAAATCAAACTTTGAAATGCAATCCTGGGTTTGAATCCCAGTCGGAACAGGGTCCTCCGGTTTCCCCATCACTAAAAACATTCACAAAACACTGTAGGTAAAATCCTCCAGCTTCAGTCCGGACCAAGCCAAGTACCAACATCTGGAGATGGATCCGAAGTGCTGTTACTATGACAACGGAAGCCTGAGTGGGATCAGGATCTGGGTCAAATGCAGAGGACGAATTTCCCTAAAGGGCACAATTACATTTTACATGATGAAAAACACATAGAGCCATTGGTCCAGATCCAGGAGCAGAGACCAATGTCCATGAGTGTGGGTGAATGTGATGGGGCAGTGTGCAGCGGTGGTAGAATGAGGATCAGACTCAGAATCCTTGTATTTCCAAAGTAAGTAACAGGAAGTCACAAACTAGGAATTTGCTTTGGCTCAATTTACTAGTTTGTGACTTCCTGTGACTTCATAAACACATCATAACATCTTTAGTAGGAAACGAACATGGGTTTTAGTTAGATCCATCCACTCAAATGTCAGGATCTTCTGGCACAAACTTCCACTTCTGTCTCAAAGCTCTCTGTCCTGGAAGAGTATGACGTAGGGCTGCACAATATATCGAAAAAAGATTGTTATCGTGATATTGGTGGGTGCAATATCCTTATCAAAAATATGCGCAATAAAACAATATAAATATATATTATAATATTTTTCCTTTATTAAACAAAACAGACAGACACATCAACATTCAACAAACAAACAAAGAAGTATATAAATATTTGCATTTGAATGTCATTAATTTTTTTGTTATTTGTCTCTTGCGTTTCAATGCAGATCGCAATTTTAGGCGAAAGAAAAAAATAGTAATAATATCGTTATCGCAACATTAAACACTCATATCGAATATCGCTGTAATTTTCAATATCGTGCAGCCCTAGTCTGACGTCATGACGAAATGTCGTTTTCTACAATCACATAACTTTATAATTTGGAACGGTGACACTTTGTTTATGCTTTTTAACTGTTTTTTTTTTGATTGCATGAATGTTTTAATGGATTTTATCTGATTTTACTGTATAATTAAATTGAGAAATGTGAGAAAACTTGGGTAGATCCACATTGAGGCATCTCAGACTGAGGCTGTTTAAACAATAATAAAAACAAGAAGAAAAATGGTCAGGTCTAAAAGGGTTTAAATTACCCAGGGCTGGTTAAGTAAAAACTTTTTTAAGGGTATTTTTTACTCACTGTGGCCCAAGGAGTCTCTCTCCAGTCTCTCTCTGGTCTCTCTCTGGTCTTTCCGTAGTCTCTCTCCAGTCTCTCTCTGGTCTCTCTCTGGTCTTTCCGTAGTCTCTCTCCAGTCTCTCTCTGGTCTCTCTCTCACTGCTCTCTCTCTGTTCCATCTCTCTCTGGTCCGTCTCTCTCTGGTCTCTCTCTGGTCTCTCTCTGGTCTCTCTCTGGTCTCTCTCTAATCTCTCTCTGGTCTCTCCCTGGTCTCTCTCTGGTCTCTCTCTGGTCTCCTTCTCTCCAGTCTCTCTCTGGTCTCTCTCTGGTCTCTCTCTGGTCTCCTTCTCTCTAGTCTCTCTCTGGTCTCTCTCTCACTGCTCTCTCTCTGTTCCATCTCTCTCTGGTCCGTCTCTCTCTGGTCTCTCTCTGGTCTCTCTCTGGTCTCTCTCTGGTCTCCTTCTCTCTGGTCTCTCTCTGGTCTCTCTCTAATCTCTCTCTGGTCTCTCCCTGGTCTCTCCCTGGTCTCTCTCTGGTCTCCTTCTCTCCAGTCTCTCTCTGGTCTCTCTCTGGTCTCCTTCTCTCCAGTCTCTCTCTGGTCTCTCTCTCACTGCTCTCTCTCTGTTCCATCTCTCTCTGGTCCGTCTCTCTCTGGTCTCTCTTTGGTCTCTCTCTGGTCTCTCCCTGGTCTCTCCCTGGTCTCTCTCTGGTGCCTCTCTTTGGTCTCTCTCTGGTCTCTCCCTGGTCTCTCTCTGGTGCCTCTCTTTGGTCTCTCTCTGGTCTCCTTCTCTCTGGTCTGTCTCTGGTCTCTTTTGTATGAGACAGAGCCCTGTGAGTCACATTTTGACACTATGAGACATAGTGTCTAACCTATATGACATCATGTCTAACCTCTCTTCTTCCCTCTGCTCTTTTCTCTTCCAGCCCAGTTAGAGCGTTTTGAGATCCCCCGTAAGATCACCCTCAGTCCGGACCCGTGGATGCCTGAGACCGGACTGGTCACCGACGCCTTCAAACTCAAACGAAATGAGCTGAGGTCGCATTACAAACACGCCATCGAGAGAATGTACGGCGCCAAGTGACCTGGAAGCACGGACTTGAACTCCAGACGTCCGGAAAAGTCTCCCAAAAACACTGGACTCGAGTCGTGACACTGCTATAGTTCTGGACGTACAGACAATGGAGGGTTTCTCTCTTTATTAACCCGTCCCTTACACTTGAATCTATTGCACATCTTTAAAAAGAAATATCTAGGAAGTGTCTTGTCATTGTTTAAATGTGTTTGTGTGAGAGGCTAAAGCTGCGTCTGAATGCCCCCAATGCACTGATTACAGTTATTCACTGCTTTAGTTATGTGTGGTGTCTTTGGTCTCTCTCTCTGGTCTCTCTCTCTCTCTGTGGTCTCTCTTTTTCTCTCTGATCTCTCGCTTTGGTCTCTTTTTCGGTCATTCACAAAGACTTTATTCCAACAACATCATATAACATAACCGTTACCTTTAGTCTCCCTCTGGTCTCTCTCTGGTCTCTCTCTTGTCTCTCTCTGCTCTCTCTGGTCTCTCTCTGGTATCTCTCTGGTCTCTCTCTGATCCCTCTCTGGTCTCTCTCTGATCCCTCTCTGGTCTCTCTCTGGTCTCTCTCTGATCTCTCTCTGGTCTCTCTCTGGTCTCTCTCTGGTCTCTCTCTGCTCTCTCTGGTCTCTCTCTGGTCTCTCTCTGGTATCTCTCTGGTCTCTCTCTGGTCTCTCTCTGGTCTCTCTCTGCTCTCTCTGGTCTCTCTCTGGTCTCTCTCTTGTCTCTCTCTGCTCTCTCTGGTCTCTCTCTGGTCTCTCTCTGGTCTCTCTCTGATCCCTCTCTGGTCTCTCTCTGGTCTCTCTCTGATCTCTCTCTGGTCTCTCTCTGGTCTCTCTCTGGTCTCTCTCTCTGGTCTCTCTCTGGTCTCTCTCTGGTCTCTCTCTGCTCTCTCTGGTCTCTCTCTGGTCTCTCTCTGGTATCTCTCTGGTCTCTCTCTGGTCTCTCTCTGGTCTCTCTCTGCTCTCTCTGGTCTCTCTCTGGTCTCTCTCTGGTCTCTCTCTTGTCTCTCTCTGCTCTCTCTGGTCTCTCTCTGGTCTCTCTCTGGTCTCTCTCTGATCCCTCTCTGGTCTCTCTCTGATCTCTCTCTGGTCTCTCTCTGGTCTCTCTCTGGTCTCTCTCTCTGGTCTCTCTCTGGTCTCTCTCTGGTCTCTCTCTGCTCTCTCTGGTCTCTCTCTGGTCTCTCTCTGGTATCTCTCTGGTCTCTCTCTGGTATCTCTCTGGTCTCTCTCTGATCCCTCTCTGGTCTCTCTCTGATCCCTCTCTGGTCTCTCTCTGGTCTCTCTCTGATCTCTCTCTGGTCTCTCTCTGGTCTCTCTCTGGTCTCTCTCTGGTCTCTCTCTGGTCTCTCTCTGATCCCTCTCTGGTCTCTCTCTGGTCTCTCTCTGATCCCTCTCTGGTCTCTCTCTGATCCCTCTCTGGTCTCTCTCTGGTCTCTCTCTGATCTCTCTCTGGTCTCTCTCTGGTCTCTCTCTGGTCTCTCTCTGATCTCTCTCTGGTCTCTCTCTGATCTCTCTCTGGTCTCTCTCTGGTCTCTCTCTGGTCTCTCTCTCTGATCTCTCTGGTCTCTCTCTGGTCTCTCTCTGGTCTCTCTCTGGCTCTCTTGTCTCTCTCTGGTCTCTCTCTGGTCTCTCTCTCTGGTATCTCTCTGGTCTCTCTCTGGTATCTCTCTGGTCTCTCTCTGATCCCTCTCTGGTCTCTCTCTGATCCCTCTCTGGTCTCTCTCTGGTCTCTCTCTGATCTCTCTCTGGTCTCTCTCTGGTCTCTCTCTGGTCTCTCTCTGGTCTCTCTCTGGTCTCTCTCTGATCCCTCTCTGGTCTCTCTCTGATCCCTCTCTGGTCTCTCTCTGGTCTCTCTCTGATCCCTCTCTGGTCTCTCTCTGATCCCTCTCTGGTCTCTCTCTGGTCTCTCTCTGATCTCTCTCTGGTCTCTCTCTGGTCTCTCTCTGGTCTCTCTCTGATCTCTCTCTGGTCTCTCTCTGGTCTCTCTCTGATCTCTCTCTGGTCTCTCTCTCTGGTCTCTCTCTGATCCCTCTCTGGTCTCTCTCTGGTCTCTCTCTGGTCTCTCTCTGATCTCTCTCTGGTCTCTCTCTGGTCTCTCTCTGATCTCTCTCTGGTCTCTCTCTCTGGTCTCTCTCTGATCCCTCTCTGGTCTCTCTCTGGTCTCTCTCTGGTCTCTCTCTGGTCTCTCTCTGGTCTCTCTCTGATCCCTCTCTGGTCTCTCTCTGATCCCTCTCTGGTCTCTCTCACTTCAGCAGTCGTGATTTCACTTATTGTAAGAAATGTTTACAATGTAACCCCCACGATGAACCCAAACTCACCATAGATAATATCAGATACCTTTGCAAACGATAGCCCGGTTAGCTAAGTGATGGGTTAGCTTAGTGATTTGTTAGCTTTGTGATCAGTTAGCTTAGCGACCTCACAAACAGTACTCTCTGATGATTAGTTGTGGGGTGGACATTTGGACACAGTTCCAGTCCTGGAGACTCTTGTATTGTTTCAGGTGGGAGTTATGAAACAGCCCCATGTGGTGCTCTGGTTTCTGGTTACTGTTTTTCCATTTCTCCGGTCTCTCTCTGGTCTCTCTCTGGTCTCTCTTTGGTCTTTCTCTCTCTCTGGTCCGTCTCTCCCTCTGGTCTCTCCCTGGTCTCTCTCTCTGGTCTCTCTCTGGTCCATCTCTCTCTCTCTGGTCTCTCTCTGTCCGTCTCTCTCTCTCTCTGGTCTCTCTCTCTGGTCTCTCTCTCTGGTCTCTCTCTCTCTGGTCTTCTCTCTCTCTCTGGTCTCTCTCTCTCTGGTCTCTCTATGGTCTCTCTCTGGTCTCTCTCTCTGGTCTCTCTCTGGTCTCTCTCTGGTCTCTCTCTCTGGTCTCTCTCTGGTCTCTCTCTGGTCTCTCTCTCTGGTCTCTCTCTGGTCTCTCTCTGGTCTCTCTCTCTGGTCTCTCTCTGGTCTCTCTCTGGTCTCTCTCTCTGGTCTCTCTCTGGTCTCTCTCTGGTCTCTCTCTCTGGTCTCTCTCTGGTCTCTCTCTGGTCTCTCTCTCTGGTCTCTCTCTGGTCTCTCTCTGGTCTCTCTCTCTGGTCTCTCTCTGGTCTCTCTCTGGTCTCTCTCTGGTCTCTCTCTGGTCTCTCTCTGGTCTCTCTCTGGTCTCTCTCTCTGGTCTCTCTCTGGTCTCTCTCTGATCTTTTGCTGCGTGCCGTGTATACACCAACAACAACACTGCTAGCATAACAGTTACTTTTGTTTTAAGTCAACTCAAAGTGCTTAACAAAATACTTGTTTGTCAGAGAAGACGTTTTCAGGAAGACTGTTCCAGATTTTAGCTGCATAAATCTCATACGCTGCTGTCTGGAGGTGGAATCAAACACAGGACCTTGATCTCATGAGAAAAAATACTATCTTTTGTATGAGACAGAGCCCTGTGAGTCACTATTTGACACTTAGGGCTGAATTTACAAAAATACATCAATTGGAAAACCAGTGATAGAAACTGAAAATCAGGTACCCCAGCTTTAATATATGACATAGGTTTTGGAAAAGAATTGGTAGATATTAATACATGATTGTGCACTTCTAGAAATTCTCCCTCCTTGTTTACAATGAAACCAGCCAATGACGTGGACCGAAACCATCCTCTGGTTTCCGGACACTTGTTTCTGTACGTTCAGCGCAATTCTCTCTAATACTAAACTCTATGATTATTTATTTTCTTTTTTCTTCTTCTCTCTTGTATATTTGTGCTCTGGCCTTGGCTCCGAAGCCTTTCTGCAGGTCAGGAAATGGCTTGTTGATCTGTAAAACTCACAATGTATAAGGGTTGAATTGTTAGCGATGGATGCTAAACTGAGATTTTTTCTATTCTAAAAACATAGACTCACTCTTTAAATTTTGTGTCATTATGCGTGGAGTATTTTGTTATTGATGGGAGGATTCTATTTTAGTGACGCATAAAGACAAAGGGTAAACATCTAGCGCAACATTTTGAGGAAAAAACTGAACATTTGCAAGATTAAGCGCTGTCAAAATGCCATATTTTTGTGCGGTGTACGGTTGTAGCAACCGCACAAATAGAGAGAAAGACAAAAGTTTCTTCATGTTCCAACTGTGGTCTCATGTAAAGGACACTTTATACACACAAAAAAATCACTGGAATGAGGCGGGCGAAGTGGATCAAGGCTTTCCCAGATAAGCGCCCCCTGCAGGCCACCCCAATGAAACAAAGCAATTTTTTCTGTTATTTTTCCCAAAAATGCCAGAAATCAAGACTCTTTTGATAAATATATTTTAGTACTCCCTTAGAATTGAGTGTCCCCGATTAAGACTGTTCCAACAACCGTACACCGCACAGGAGGAGAGCCTTTTGATCCAAAACAGACTTTACATGGTTTTCAATGGGAGCAAAACTGAGTTGTCTCTGCTCATGCGCCCCCTACAGGCCAGGTTCATGAAACCCAAGAATAGGTGTTTGTTATGACTGGGTTAGCTTTGCGCTGTAACGGGGGCAGACATTTTGCTTAGACGGTTGCTAAGGCGGTTGCTAAGGCACGCTGGCGTTTCCCCCTAGAATTAAGGCATCTGATTGGTCAACACCAGGATCATAGAGAGCGCTAAACTACGGAATTTTTTTAATGCCAAATTGGTGAGTGCGACACAAACGGTTACCGAGCTAGCTGTGTTTACTTTTACATATAAGGAAATGGGACCGAGTTGAAGCAAAACTTTAGCTATAAGCACTTCCCTATTGGGCAACTTTGAGCTAGCGGGTTTGCATTGTCCATCCATAAACAGCCTACGTTTTCAAGCTAGCAAATTTGCCAGTTTAAACTCGGAATATTGCTCTAATTTTTCCTCTTAATCATGTGGAACTAAAACATGGTCTTGCTAACGGGATGATCCACACATGAACTCTTTGATCACAGTAGCCTTTTTGCTAACTTTACCAAATCAAGCTAATCTTTTTGCTCTCGGTGCATATTCACTGACAACAATCACGCTTTTGAGAAGGACTTTCATGACGCAATTGTGAAAATAAAAGAAATGTTTAAGCTTTGTCATAGAGAAGAGCGGCTGTTTGTTTTGTTGGACCAATGATTTTAGACACGACATAAATCAGTCAAATCTGTCGTCTTAAAGGGGCGGTGTGTAATATTTTCTTTTAAATCTTGTGTTTACCTGTTTTCCGTGGACACATCTAATTGGAGCTATTCTTAATTCAAAAGACGCAATTTCCAAGCAGATTATCCAATCAGAGAGCAGGATGTGGTACTCATTTTGGTTGCCAGATTGTTAGATAAAAATTAGCTGATTTTGAGTGGGGCAAAGTGGGGTTAAGTGTCTTGCCCAAGGACACAACGACAGCAGTCATCAGTGGGAGTCGTGAAGTGGGTCTTATGGTGGGCTTGAACCCACGACCTTCAGGCCCAAAGGCCAATGCTCTACCAACTGAGCTACTGTCGCCCCATGTATATTTCATGTTACATACAAAACAAAGCAAGACACACTTTGTTATTTATTTTATGTATCCCTTTTTCCCACTAGCCACCCTTTGTGCCAAAAAATATTCTTATAATTTAAGTTTAAAAAAGCAGTCTGTGAAAGGCACTAAATAAAGATGACTTGCTTACATGTATCTAGAATTACACACATTGAATTCAGTTTTTTAATAACAAAGATACAAAATAAGTAGTCGTACATAATACACAGAGTTTGCACAGTTTCAGCTAAACCCCAGCAGGTGGATCGCATCAGTAATAAGTGCTCAGGAGCTGGATGTGAAACAGGAGGAGGATGTGTGTAATGACTGTATTAGACTACTAAGAATGAACATAATGTCCCTTTAACACAGAATATGTTAGCATATGTTAGCATGTAAGCTAGCCGTGTGTTTATAATTGAAGTAATTTGCCCTTTGTCATCTGTAAAACTCACATGCAACACTCCTTAAAGCTGCAGTACCTAACTTTTCCCTCATGACATGTGTAAGATTCCTGTAAAAGTAAAATGTGAAGAAATCAAACTATGTTGTTTTATTATTTATGAGAAATGTGTCAGTTTTATTGCAAACTATAAACTAACAAAAAAAACTCATCACGTACAGTATATACACACATAAATAGATAAACCTATATACATATATAAATATATTATACCTATATATACATACCTACATATACATACACATAAATACACAGAGATACAGTACCTATATGACACCTATATACATATACACATACACACATCTATATACACACACACATATATATCTATATACACACAAATATACGCACAGCTACATAAGAAAAAGCAACAGACACAAAATAAAAATGTAGGAAACGGCAAAAAACAATTTGAAAGATAAAAATAGACGGGATTACAGGTGCATAGAACATTACAAATAATACTCATGATCATAATTGTTGCTAAACAACCAGAAAAACTATAAAAGGATAATAAGTGAGTCACTATTTGACTCTTTGGGCTGCGACCTTATCGGCTGAGAGATGGTGGTTCTCGCTTTGTCACTTTCTGTCTGAAAAAGCAGAAGATGGAACAGAAACCAAAAAAACATGTGAAGTAGTGGTAGAAGCAAATCCTTTAGAAAGACAGGAAGTACAGCGGTGCAAATGATATTTATTTTGTGGTTTGAAAGTTACGTACCCCAGCTTTAACTCAGTCATGTATAATAATGTATAGTATCCAGTCCTGGTTTATGTCTGTTTCTGGTCTCAACAAAAGGCGTTTTCATGTTGGAACAGATGGATGTGTCTCGTGTGAAGGATGGTCCTGTGTTGTTCTGATCTGTCTCTGGGTGAAATGGAAACATGAATAAAGCTGTTTGGTTTGTGTGTCCAAGATGTTATTGTTGGACTTTATGAATGTGACGAGAGCTCACGGCCAAATACAGTCTGGGTTTAGAGCTCGGGGCACGGCAGGGAGTGAAGAAAATAGGAAATATCTCTGGGTTTGCAATGGAATCACATGTATTTGTGTATACAAGACTTTGTCCCAGAATCTGGTTTTAACACAGTCAGAATAAGATAAGATAAACTTTATTGATATCACAAAAGACAAATGTACATGTTCCATTTGGCACAGAGAGAACATGCAAAAGACATAAGTGTGAAACGTGTTCAAAATGTGCTAAAATAAAGATAAAAACACATGATTTAAACATTTATTTCCTCATATTGTGTCACTTTTTGCAGTGTGAGTGTGTCTTTGTGTATTTGCTGATTCCCAAATGTTGTTGGTTCAAAGAGACTGTAGCCAAAGGTAAACGTTGGGTTCAGTGAGTGCTTTGAACGTAATGAGCAGCGTGAACAGCCGAGTGTGTTATGAGGAATCACCAAACCCTCGTTCTGGTCCATAGACACCTCTGACCCACTGACGCTCGTTCTGGTCCATAAACACCTCTGACCCACTGACGCTCGTTCTGGTCCATAAACACCTCTGACCCACTGACGCTTGTTCTGGTCCATAAACACCTCTGACCCACTGACACTTGTTCTGGTCCATAAACACCTCTGACCCACTGACGCTCGTTCTGGTCCATAAACACCTCTGACCCACTGACGCTTGTTCTGGTCCATAAACACCTCTGACCCACTGACGCTCGTTCTGGTCCATAGACACCTCTGACCCACTGACGCTCGTTCTGGTCCATAGACACCTCTGACCCACTGACGCTCGTTCTGGTCCATAAACACCTCTGACCCACTGACGCTCGTTCTGGTCCATAAACACCTCTGACCCACTGACGCTCGTTCTGGTCCATAAACACCTCTGACCCACTAACCCAGATCTACTGCAGACGCACAAAACATCTACTAGATGCACACATCTACTGCAACATCTAGGGACTGGCCTCCTGCTGGGACTCTGAGGAGCACAGGGACTGGCCTCCTGCTGGGACTCTGAGGAGCACAGGGACTGGCCTCCTGCTGGGACTCTGAGGAGCACAGGGACTGGCCTCCTGCTGGGACTCTGAGGAGCACAGGGACTGGCCTCCTGCTGGGACTCTGAGGAGCACAGGGACTGGCCTCCTGCTGGGACTCTGAGGAGCACAGGGACTGGCCTCCTGCTGGGACTCTGAGGAGCACAGGGACTGGCCTCCTGCTGGGACTCTGAAGAGCACAGGGACTGGCCTCCTACTGGGACTCTGAGGAGCACAGGGACTGGCCTCCTGCTGGGACTCTGAGGAGCACAGGGACTGGCCTCTTGCTGGGACTCTGAGGAGCACAAGGACTGGCCTCCATCTTGGATTTCTCCAGTGTGAGATCAATACAGTATATCTTATGTAAACTGTTACTGTTAGTCTTTTTCTTTCTTTTTATTTGCTCATTTTTTTTCATTCACAAAATAACCACATCTGTCCAGCAGCAAATACAGCAGCTATACAATACTTAGTCTCATGTCTGGATCTCAGAGAATGATAATAATAATTCAAAACCCACAATTAATGAACCAGAGTTTACTTTCCACTGTACGTCAAGAGGAGCCAAGCAGAGTAATTAATATGTACTTTGTTTAGCTTAGCATGTTAGCATTGTCCATCTGTATACAGGCTATGCTCTGGAGTGAAGGGGGGGGGGGGGGGGGGGGGGTCACGAAGGGGGAGGAGGGGGGACACATGGGGATGGGGGGGGGGGGGTCACATGGATCTTTTGCTGCTTGTATAACTGAGAAGCAGAGCCACAATCTGACGCAGACGTGAGAAAAGACAGACCGGACCCATTCTTCACATAAGCACACGAGACCAGAAACCAGAGAGACCAGAGAGAGACCAGAGAGAGACCAGAGAGAGACCAGAGAGAGACCAGAGCACGGTGAGTACACATTACACTGCAAAGAGTCATGAAAAATAAGTATAAAAACTTTCAAATTTTGCAAAATGTGTCTAAATTTGAGCACATTTTGACTGCATTAAAACCAGATTCTCCAAATGAGACCAAGAGCAAAATGATCTTATTTTAAAAAGATACGAGAAATACTAAATGGTTTTGTCCGATCGGAGAATCTGGTTCTAACACAGTCAGAATGTGCTGACAGAGATAAACTGTGTAAAGGATGTGAAAGAAAGTATGAATTTAGATTAAAATCACTCAATTTAAGTATTTATCGCTTCATATTTTATTTTATTTTTTTGCTGTCTAAGAATTAGAAGATTCTCAACTACTGCTTATGGAAACAAACTGGAAATGGTTTTTGTTTTTTCTGTTTCTAAAGTATTTATGTTGAGAGAAAGACCAGAGAGAGAGACCAGAGAGAGAGACCAAAGAGAGAGAACAAAGAGAGAGACCAGAGAGAGACCAAAGAGAGAAACCACAGAGAGAGATCAAAGAGACAGACCAAAGAGAGAGACCAGAGAGAGACCAGAGAGAGAGACCAAAGAGAGAGACCAAAGAGAGAGAGACCAGAGAGAGAGACCAGAGTGAGAGACCGGAGAGAGACCAGAGAGAGAGACCAAAGAGAGAGAGACCAGAGAGAGAGAGATCAGAGTGAGAGACCGGAGAGAGACCAAAGAGAGAAACCAAAGAGAGAGACCAAAGAGACAGACCAAGGAGAGACCAAAGAGAGAGACCAGAGAGAGACCAAAGAGAGAGACCAGAGAGAGACCAGAGAGAGAGACCAAAGAGAGAGACCAAAGAGAGAGAGACCAGAGAGAGAGACCAGAGTGAGAGACCGGAGAGAGACCAGAGAGAGAGACCAAAGAGAGAGAGACCAGAGATCAGAGAGAGAGACCAGAGTGAGAGACCGGAGAGAGACCAGAGAGAGAGACCAAAGAGAGAGACCAATGAGAGACCAGAGAGAGAGAGCAAAGAGAGACCAATGAGAGACCAGAGAGAGAGACCAGAGAGAGACCAGAGAGAGACCAGAGAGAACTTTGTGACTTTATGTTTCTAAGTTCACGTCATTATGTTTTTGCAAATAGATGTTTTGTGTGTTTTTTGAAAAAGCAAAATGGAAAAGTTTGAGGTTAAAGCAGAAACTAAAGCACCAGGATGTAACATTTTAGACTTTCTCACTTTTATAGCTCTGAGAAAAACATGTATGTTCTGAACTCTTCTTCTCTAACTTTTATTTTAATCAGATTAGATATGACATGACAAAGACGCGTTCATTCACAAATAAAAAAAATAAAAACCCATTTCCACTTTTTTCCCGACAGAAAGAGTTTAAAAAAGTAAATTGTTGTGTGTTGATCTTTGCAGAGTGAGTCACGTGTCACATATTTAACACCGCCCTCTGCTGGTTGTGACGGGACTTACACCAAAAAGTATCCACATACACTGAAAAAATAAAATCTTGTTATTTATTGACTAAAAATTACATAAATTATGCTTATTTTTTAAATAGGCAAGGCAAGGCAAGGCAAGTTTATTTGTATAGCACAAGTCATACACAAGGCAATTCAAAGTGCTGAACAAAACAAGAAAGCATTAAAATCATAAATAATCACAGTACATTAAATAAAGATAAAAATATAAAATCCCTCAGTTGTATGCACAGCTAAACAGAACCGTCTTTAACCTGGTTTTGTTGCAAGTTTTTGTTGCTTGAATGTAGTTTGTCATACGATTATTTTATTAGTTTTAAGGTAATTATACTACATAATATTAGATAAAAAATCTGAGCAGTGAGTTTTTAAGCTTGTTTTTAGTTTTTAGGTTTTTTTCAGACTTTTCTTGTTTAGATAAAATAAGTGTTATTTTTTTTTTTTAAGTCTCAAAAATGTTTAAGAAATAAGTAAATAATTCTTGAAATGTAGAATCAAGTCGTTTGGGGCTAGTTTTATTTGTTTTTTTTTTCAGAAATCTTAACTCATATTTTCTTCTTATATTCTCAGATAATTTTTATTATTTTAAGCAGTATTTTACTTATTTTCATTTATTTGTTTCTTGTTTTTTAAGGGATATTTTCCAGTGTATTTTATACTACCAAAGTACACTCTGTAGTCTCATTAAAATGTTAAATGAAAAAAATAATGCACATCTGTCTCTGGAGCATTTCTTCAACAGTTCTATGTTTCCTGTGGGATTTGTGAGAAACCCCTTTTCCTACTTTTGTTTGACTAATTTCTTAATTATTAAAAACCAAATAGCATTTCTCTGAGTGGATGATTCGCCAGCGTTTCTAGTCAAGGCAAATGTATTTGTATAGCACAGTTTATCCACAAGGCAACTCAATTTGCTTAACAAAACAAGAACAGAAACATAATCATACATAATTTTACACTTTTATTAACATTTATGGACATTGGTCTCTGCCCCTTATGGACCAAGGGCTCTATGTGTTTTTATTATTGCATTTCTTGTGTTTGAAATGTTTGATTCTCAAGGCTTCTGTCTCCTTGGCTTTTATCACAGAAAAACCCAGATTCACAAATATCAAAGCTGTTCCACGTTTGGTCACACCTACATTATGTTTTTCAACTTTCTCCCGCAGAATAGAGACGGCTGAAATAACGGATTTACAAGTGATTTTAGTGACTTATTTAGTGGTTTTGTTGTTAACCATAAAACTGATACATTTCCATCACAAAAGTCATCTGTGCCTGGATCTACAGTGTGTCCTTTGTTGTGACCACTGAGGAAAATGACAGAGGTCTGGGGTCAGAGTCACAGCAGAAGACTTGTTTTATTGTTGGTTCATGGTATAAACGACACAGGGTTCACATGGTTTTATACCAAAGAAAAAATGGTCTCTCTCTGGTCTCTCTCTGGCCTCTCTCTGGTCTCTCTCTGCCCTCTCTCTGAGCTCTCTGTGGTCTCTCTCTGGTCTCTCTCTGGTCTCCCTCTGGTCTCCCTCTGGCCTATCTCTGGTCTCTCTCTTGCCTCTCTCTGGCCTCTGTCTGGTTTCTCTCTGGCCTCTCTCTGGTCTCTCACTTTAATCTCTCTCTGGTCCCTTTCTGTACTCTCTCTCTGGTTCTTGTCTCCTCTGCATCTCTGGGAAAAATACAGTTTTCTTCAATAGTTTGAATCTGACCTGTTTCCCTTCTCACCTCCAGACCTCTCTCACCCACAAATGGACAACTCTACATCCACCCAACCCTCGCGTCACAGCGCTACCTCCGACGGCAACGCCTCGCTCTACATCCTCATCGTCATCTCCTTCTACGGCTTCTTCCTCTGCGTCCTCCTCCTCGGCTACATCCGCTCCAAACGCCGCGAGAAAAGCCGCACCAACATCTTCACCAAACTCGTCCACGACAACGAGAAGCGCGAGTGGGGAGCCATGCCCAAGAAAAGCAGCCTCTCGCACACGCCGTCCGGGTCCGTGCCCACGCTGCCGTTCTGCAGCAGCCACTCGGGGCACCTGGAGATGTTGGGGGTCCACGGCGCCTTCACCCTCAACCCGTTAGCGTGTGCTCAGTGCGCGGAGCAGAGCAGCGTTAGCTCCCTCTGCTCCTCCTCCTCAGACGCCAGGGTCACCATCGAGGAGGAGCAGCAGGAGGAGGCGGAGGACCAGGGAAGCAGGAGGAGCGGTGGTGGTGATTCTGGATGAGGCCAGTTGGAGGCGGAGACTCAAATGTACCTGTGCTAAAGCTCAAAGCGGCCGCAGTTATGAATATGCATCAAGTTTAAAGGTTATGGCACAAGACGAGACTTTTTGGTTGAATGCATGAACTAATGTATGTACCCAAGGACCCACAGAAGCTAATATGCTGACAGGCTACATTGCTAGCATAATTGGCAAAAATAGCACAGATTTTTGTTCTTTTCATTTTTTTTTTAACAAATATTTTATGTCTGGGTTCTTCAAGGGTGATCAAAGAATAATTTTGGTCGAGGAGGTTTTCTGGTGTGTCCTGCGGGTTATCGAACCAAGCAAATGTTTGGAGACACATGAATCAGAGGGAACCCATTTAATCCAATAGATTTTGACTTTTTATACATAGACTTGGCTTCCCACAAACATCTCCTCACACTTTTCTTACATAACATTCTTCCATGTGTTTCCGTTACTTCCGTAAAATAGTCAAATATCTCTTTTTAATTACAGGGTGATTGTCGTGTTATCGAACCAAACAAATATTTGGAAACGCAACAACTCGAAAGGAACGACTTTAACCCCGTAGCACCCGCGGCTACGAATATGAACCATCAAGTTTAAAGGTTACGGCAGAAGATTTGACTTTTTGGTTGAATGCATAGACTAATGTATCTAGCCAAGGACCCACAGAAGCTAATATGCTAACATGCGACATTGCTAAATTTGTAGCATATTTGGTCATTGAACGCTGCCAAAAATAGCACACATTTTTGCTCTATTCATTTTTTTTTCAACAAATATTTCTATTTCTGGGCTCTACGAGGGTTAATAACCGATTATTTGAGTCTGCGTGTTGCGATTTGGTCGAGAAGTGTTTGATCCCGTCTAGCGTTTTTTCTGGTGGTCCTGCAGATTATTGAACCAAGAGAATGTTTGGAGACGGAACGACTCAGAAGGAATCGTTTTAATCCTTTAGGCTTTGATCGTGTTGTTGTATTTTTGGGTTTTTGTGTATCCAGAAACGTTCAATCCTTTTGTCTTTCCACGTGTTTATTGCGGGGATTTGAGGGTCTTTTCATTCTCTTATTAGAAATGTTACTAGTCCAGTATTTACAACTTTAAAAACATTTTTGTTGAACAGGATCATGTTACTTTTGAAAGAAATATTGAAAACTATTTTTTAAAGATCCTGCCATATAATTCTTCTGTCTGCGGCCCTTTTTCAACATCATTCAAATGTTTTTATGATTATTGTCACCACTTACACTGCAAAAAATTATAAAATATGAGGTTTTAATTGCTTGAAACGAGTGGTTTTTCTCTTAATTCAAGCACATTCAGAAAAATAACATTAATTAAAACATGATTCTCCAATGGGACAAAGCCATTTAGTCTTATTTAAAAAAAACTGTTGCTTTGTTTTTTCATTCCAAGGGAGACATTTCTGTATCTTTTTAAAACAAAATCAATTTGCTTCGTCCCATCGGCAAAACTGAGCCTTTTTTGACTAATTTTTCACCACTTTTTGCAGTGTAATGACACCTTTGTGAGAAAAAGATTAGACCATAGTTGATGTGTGTTGACAAAGAATATGTGGAACTTTGTGACAGTTTTAGTTTCTTGTGGATTGACCCAAAGGTTACGGAGACATGAGCTCAAAAATATCATCAAAGAAAAACTATTCAACTACAGGAAATGCAATGAAAACACACAGAGCCGTTGGTCCATCGGGAGCCGGACTGTTCATACATGTTCATGAATCTACATAAATGTCAAGTCTTAGGCACACATCTATGGGAGAAAATAAAAGGGAAATTCTAATGAACAGAAAAGTGAAATCATTTCCAATGGTGCGGACTACAACCTGCAAAATATGGACTTTTCGTTGTTGCTTCGGCTTCGAACCTGGATCAGACTTGAACTGTAGTTTTGAGAATTTTGTTGGACACATTTTTGAGTTGTGTTTGCTTTGAAATGTTAGTGTTTGTAATTCAAGACTTTACATTTGTAACGTGTGGAAATAATAAATAGATAAATATATAAACGTGTCATGGTTGTTCCCTCTTGCTCTCACTAGGGGGCACTGTCGCTGTAGTGATATTTCTGTTGCATGAGGCTGGAATAATTATACAAACCTGAAAAATGAACAAACTTAGTGTCAGATACACAGATAAAGATTACTTACTTACAGAGAGAGTGGCTTATAAAGCTAAGCAGGGCAGGGACTGGTTAGTGCTGTGATGGAAGACCTCTGGGAACACCAGGTGCCACAGTGGGGCGGCTGCTGCGGCTGTAAAGTGCCAAACTGCCGTTGTGTCCATAGGCAAGATATTTCGCCCCCATTAGAATGAGTCTGGTGTGTGTGTGAATGGTTTGTGGTGGGAGGGGCTGATGGCACAGAATATTATGTGAAGCATGCTGTATACAAAACAATGCATGATTATTATTATTTTTACTATATTAAGCCAAATAGGTTGTTAATTTATTGTTGTAAATATTTCAATTTTTGTATTATTTTTATTCAGAATATGTTTGTATTTATCACCAGCTGTGGGGAAAGTTAGTAATGTAATCCATCCGACCATGTCCTCTCTCTCAGAACAGACTCTGTCACTAGTTTATTATTTGTGTTTTTGGCTCTGTCACTGTTTTGGATCCGCTTTTTTAGAGGAAGGACGAGCGAGTCTTCCTCACCTCTCAGCTTCAAACACTGACTCCCAGGGTTCTTTGCAGGTTTGTAGAGTAAAAGAGCATGAAGGAGAGGGTTTATTCACATACAACTGGTGCAAATAGACAATGGGAAAATGTATTATTATTATTTTTCATTCACTGATCTTTGCTCTCAGACATTTTGGTTCTATCAATACTTTTGGATGGGACAGAGGCCTAAACATATATGCAGAACTCATGATAGAACCAAACTGTTTTAGAGCCAGGCACTTATTACATGGATTGTAAAGTTTAAATCTGTGTGGTTTTATAAATGTAGGGACCCCAGCTTTAAATAGAAAGTGAATAAATGAAATTAAATGCCACATCTCTCTGCTCCTTCTCTGGTTCTCAAAGGTTTTCTGATGCTGTCATTTTCATGCTGCGTCACTGACTCTCCCTCTCTCTCTCTCTCTCACACACACACAAACACACACACAAAGAGAGGACATGACGCTCAGCAATGACGTGTGCAAACTGGCTCAAGCATAAATTACAGTTTGTGTCAATACAGCTGCACAACACTGGATCATCGACGAGACCAGAACCTTCCACAGCTGCAGTTTGGGTCGAGAACATGTATTAAGAGATGTGAACCAGAACCTTCCACAGCTGCAGTTTGGGTCGAGAACATATATCAAGAGACGTGACAATACCTGAACCCATGACGAGACCAGAACCTTCCACAGCTATAGTGATAAGAATCAGACTCATGCAAATTGGGATCTTTGTACGACAAAGCCTCCTGGCTGGTTTATTCACAAAATGGTCGTTAATTTTCAGGCAGAACAAAAGACACAGATACATTATATATGGAAATCTACGTCATCATAGAAAAGGCCAAACCTTCGGCACAAATAGCCTAAACAACGAAAGTCTCTGTGGTCCTTGAGACCTCCACAAGGCCAGGTTATTAATACTATTTTGTCTTGCATTTGTCCACCTGTGCAGTACATAGGTCACTGTTTACCACACCCTCCCATTTTATCACATAAACACATGTGATATAATAAAAATACAAAAACAACAAAAATAAATCAATCAATCAACAAAAACTTACAATCATGAAATCAAGTAAAGTGAATAACTGATTCTTAACTTGCAAAAAAATACATACAAAAAATAATGATAATAAAAAATAATCACTTTCACTATATAATCATGAATTTAGCTGATTTTATAATTCAAACAATAACAAAAATCTCTATTGGACACCAGAACCAAGCTGATATGAGTCATAGAGCAGGCGGGACTGAGCATTAAGAATCAAATATAAAATTAATTACTCACTTCATCCTAATGTGAAGTCTTAATATTAATTCCTACATTTACCTAAACGTTTTGATTTTACACTGTACACCTGTACAGCTATTATCTTATACTATTTTAAAACACTAATATGATTATTTTGCAAAGCTATGTATAATTTCTGTTAAATTTGCATCTTAGTGGAACATATAGCTAATAAATCTCACTATCGGACTCCATCTCGTCCTCTTCTTCTAGACAGTAGTTTACACTCATCATTAGCGGCATTGTGTTAATATACTGTTTGGAAATTGCAGCTGCAAAACGCTCAATAGGGGAGGTCCCCACCAACTGCAACTCCCCAACCAGATATGGGCTCAATGCCCCAATGGAACCAATAACGCTGAACGATGGCAGGACTGACCTGAATGCTTATATTCATGGCTAAATTGGGCACGGGCATAAGACACCGGTTTACAGCGTTGTGTGAAGTACCCACATAAGGATCTCCATAGAAACGTGAATGCAGCAGTGAGGGCAATATCCTACCACCACAATCACTGAACCAATGAGCTGTATACACTTCTTGCAGCAGTGATCCTAGGGAGATGCTTGGCTATAAGAGCAACCATGGGAGCCATGGACTATACCCACCATGAAAAGACGGGTGGAGGCGGAGATCCAAGGTTGAGCTCGGAGAGAAGTGAGGTCATTACACGAGGCCAGAGAGGTGCAATGAAGAAGACAGTACCCAGAAAGTACAGCCAGATAAACAATACCTGAAGCACTCGAAACTGCCAACAATTGCTCCAAGCCTGCCAGCCGCTTCAGTGGGTACACTAAAGGAGATTGAAGCAGAAGGGTGAACAGGCTGTTCGCAACACAACCTGCGAAGGTGTTACGCTCAGTGGCAGGGTAACAACAGGGTAACAAACTGGGTAGCATCGGGGAGAAGACCTCCGAGGCGGAAACTGAACAGTTCTGGAAAGTACATTTGGGAGAAGGATGCAGCACATAACAGCAGTGCACAATAGGCTGGTGTCCCTGAGAGAGGA